GCCTGCCAGGCTATCAAATGTGGTGCCGCAGCACGAGGCTGTTTTTAAATGTTGACCTATCTTCTCTCATTTCTCCACAGAGATCTTCCCTATCTCTGGGTACCAAGGGCATTGGCATGAAATTTCTGACAACAAATTGTCGATGTCTCTTCTGGCCACTACTCTCTCCCCAACCAAACGCTTGACTAACTGATAAAGTTCCTCACTGTAAACCCTTTGTTCTGATGACAGACTTCCCCCCATACTCACAGGGATCCCAAGGGGATGTGCATGCAGACTTCTCCAGTCGAGTGAGTAGGTTTGCTGTTCTTCGGATTCAGTATCACGTCGGATTCAGTATCACGTCAGGGTCACCAGCTGTTGGGATTCCTTACAGGAATGACACACCAGACAGAATGGGGGCGCAATGCTTGCTTGCTTGTTTGCTTGAGGAATCAGTGCTTTCCTCAGCCTTTTTATTAGCAACTTGTTTACAGCATTGGTCAATTCTGTCCATTACTCATTAACTGACAGAAGATGCTATTTCCCTGTGTCAGGACTCAAAGGTCAGAGAATGTAAACAGGACAGGAAACCAGCCAAGTTAATCAGTAGGGGTGTTTACGTGTGTAAACACCAGCCAGGCTTAGTTATTAAATGCATAGAGGAAAATATGAGCCCTTTTTTGTGGCGTGCCAGCAAAATTCCTCCACACTACTCTACCCAATCCTACTATAGCTGTGTGTCTCTGCCTACAACAGGCAAAGTAAACAGCAACTGCCTCCAGAATCTCATAGGTCCAAAGCACACTGCAGAAATAATCCAGTTTGTGACTGCTTTAACTGCCCTGTCTCAGTGCTAAGGAAACCTGGGAACTATAGTTTTGTGAGACATTTAGCCTTCTCTGTCAGAGCTCTCTGGTGTCACGAAACTACAATTCCCAGGGCAGTTAAAGCGGTCTCAAACTGGATTATTTCTGCAGTATGGATTGGACCTTACTGAGCAGGTACAAACAGCAAAATAGAGAGAAAGAAAGAGAGCATATGTGCCTGTCTTACCCACTACCCCCAGCATGATTAAAAAGCACAGATCTATAAATTCAGCCATCAAACGAAGTCATAAAAGTGGAGGCTGGTGGTAGAAAAATCCATCTCTGAATGTATTTTGGAAGAAGCTTTCAAACGGTCTCTGGAAGTCTAGAAATGTTTTTCATTACACTTGCAAGGCTTACCTTCACAAGTGTGAAATGAGATGACAGAAGAATAACAATCCTGGTATCGCAGTGGTCCCTAGAAATAATGATCATATAACAAGTTATATGCAGGATAACTCTGAGGTCATGCAACTAATATAATGATATATCTTTAATATATATATAGTATAGTATAGTGTAGTATAGTATAGTATATATTATAGTATAATAGTATACCTCACCTTAATGTTTCATTTCACATGTGCATATTGTTTGGAATAAAAAGTTTGCTGAAACACATGGCTCTCTTTTTTTGTGGTATACGAACATATTCCTATTCATCCCATTATTTACTTATTTTTATTTTTTAATCCAGTACCAAATTTGTTGCTAAAGCAGTAATGTCCAGCAACACATCTACAGTGTCAACTGAAGTGCCCCTCTATAAGTGGTCATCTCAAAATACAACTAAATGCATCTGACTAAATGGCTGGTAGTTCAGGAGAGTTTATACCATAATAATCTGCCACTAGATATAGGTGTTTTAATGTACTAATCTGTAGCATTCACACTTTGTATCTTTACAAGTAAGGATTTAATTTACAAGATGGGAAGATTAGGTGGATATCCTCTATGCTTCAGCCTTGCTGTTTTACTGCTTCTGTAGCAAACACTAAAATGGAGCCAGCCAATGCACAAACATTCACAAGATACAATTGCTTGTACTTTTGGTTTTAGCTGTCAAGCCACTTCCTCTCCCTAAAAACTGCTTTTGGGAGGTTTCAAACAAGCCCCAAAGCCAAAATTACATTTAAAGTGGCAAATTGTGTCCTCGGAGGCTTTAGGTAAGATTTTGCCTTTTGGGGGCACTGAGATGTGAACCCCATCAATGTCCAGGAGAGGCAAAGATGTCCCCCCAGAGCCTTCAGAAATCCTGTTCTGGTTTAAGGTAGGTCTGGCTGTGTGATCATAGGTTAATCATTTTTACTATATGTATCAGTGTGATGTGCCTGGTTTCTGACTTATAGTGGCCCTAAAGCAAACCTATCATATTTGTTACTTGTTATTTATAGCATCTATACCTAATATTTGTTATTATAATATATACTAATATAAAATATAGTAATATATATTCTCTCTATATCTATATCTATATCTATATACAGATACACACATACACACACGTTATAATATAGATAGATTTTACACACACACACACACATATACATACACACACACACACACTCACACACATAGTTTACTAATATATAGTATAATGGTATTCCTAATATTTGTTATTATACTATATACTAATCTAGTATATAGTAATATATATATTATGCACACACACATATTTACAGACACACACACACACTATAGAGTATAATGGTATACCTAATATTTGTTATTATACTATATACAAATACTATATGCACACATATATACACACACATAAACACATACACTTTATATACAAATATATAGTATAACGGTATACCTAGTATGTATTACTATACTATATACTATACACCCACACACACAAACATATTATATACATACACACAAACACACACATAAACACTTTATATGCTAATATATAATATAATAGTATATATAATATTTGTTATTATACTATATACTAATATAGTATATAGTAATATCTATATTAAGGAATGCAGTGGCTCAAGTGGTTAAGAAACTGACTCTGTTGACTGCAAGATCGGCAGGTTGGCAGTTCAAGGCCCAGGTGCTACATGATAGGGATGAGCTCCTGTCACTAGTCCCAGCTTCTGCCAACCTAGCAGTTC